TGATTGAGAGTCCGCCTGCCGATGCAGGGGACGCGGGTTCGTGCCCCGGTCCGGGAAGATCCCATATGCCGCGGAGCGGCTGGGCCCGTGAGCCATGGCCGCTGAGCCTGCGCGTCCAGAGCCTGTGCTCCGCAACGGGAGAGGCCACAACAGTGAGAGGCCCGCGTACCGCAAAAAAAAAAAAAAAAAAAAAAAAAGATCTGTGCTGCACACACCATCTTTCCACAGAATCCCATTGAAAGATGCGAGTCAGTACACAGGGAACTAATGGTACCCCCAAGAACCTAGGCCATCTGCTAGAATATTGGAAACTAAAAAATTCAGAATGTTCTGAAAAGAGGGGCACGCTCCTATGCTAAAAGAGTGACTGATGCCTAGTATGCCTGCCTTGCAGTGTTTTCAACCAAGCTTATTGGCATATGTCACCATGGTGACCAGGGTTAATGGAATTGCATCCATAATTTTCCATGGAGGGTATGCTCCAATTAAGCCCATCTTAAAAAAGAAACAGTAAAAGAATCCTTTAATTTGACCAAATTTGAGATACATTCTAGCAGGGTCATGGAATATACTAGGAAGTCTGATGCTTCACAAACATTTTCAAGACCTGGGGTGCTGACATAATCAATCTCTTTCTATCATGCTCTAAAAAAGCTTTTATTCTGCAGCGGTTCAGGTTCATCTGAAGCTTTAATAGTGAAAGGCTTCACATGTTAAATGAGCTCCTCCACCTTCATCCGAGCCCAAAGATATCAATGACAGTATGTTTTGTCCAGGACTTTAGGGAACTCAGCAAACACTCATCTCTACTTCTTTTTCAGAAACGGAATTTGTTGCCAATTTACTAATAGATGGACAATGCGGAAGAAAGTTTAAATTGGAAATAATTCTAAACATGGGAACCCAAGGCTCCTGGGAATTTGTAAAACAAAATTATACTTTTCTCTATATTCTATTTTCTTCACATTTCCAGCCTTGGGGTGCACGCATGTGTCTGTGTGTCAATATGTGTGTGTCTGTTTTGTTTCATATGAAAATGCTGACTGATAATACCCCAGTACAGTAAGACAGAGCCCTTCCAATACCATAAAGTAAGCAGCACGATACAGAAGTGGTCAAATTCTATTTTGTATCCTCACTTTCTCTACCTCCCCCTCCACTAGCATTATACCATCAAAAAAGAGAATCTGATCGATCAGTTCATGACAGTAGACAGCGATTTAACTTCTGACACATGGCAATAAGGTAGACTTCATCAGCAATCGTTGATCTGTGAGAGATTGTCTTATGATCTCCCAATACCCAAACCTCATTTAAATTGAATGCTATCACCGAGCAGCTTACCAATTAAATCAAGATGTCTTAATATTACAGAAAAGAGATTCTTAAATGCAATAACAGCATTTCTCAGCTGTGTTTACAGCCTTGGACATTGCTATTTAAATACCCCCAAGGATATAAATTCTAGGAAGAATTTCACTTTGCCCAATTTCAGTTCACTGTCTTTAACTATACATCTCTCTCAGCACCAGTAGCATTCAGGAGTCCAAGCCTGGTCCCAGATTCAAAAAATTATGAAAAGAAACCGTGCTTAAGGGAATTGGATCAGATATATTAGAAATATCATCTATACATTTTCCAGACTAGTTAAATAATACATACATACTTTTTCAAACATACATATGAAATAGCTCCCATTTGACAACTTAAGGACTCGGCACACATATCATCCTAGTTATTCCTACAAAAACTTTGAGGGGGGTGCCTGTTTCATACCACAGTGGTAGATACCAAGTTGCAGAGAAGTTAGGCAGATGACCTTGAATGAGACCTATAAGCCTGGATTCAAATCCCAGTGTCCACATAACTACTACACGACAATGCCACCCATTCCACAAGCCATCTCTATGGGACTGTGTGCCACGGTCACAGAAGCTGCTGAGCCAAGTACAGGACCAGATGAGCCCACCCAGGCTTGGCCCATAGCCCTCCATGGCCAATTTAGCATCACTAAATTTCTCCCATTTGTTTCCCTGGTTCTTGTTACACTTACATAATAACTCTCCCCACCTTCCAAAAAGACCCAAAAAAAACCATTAACACACGAAAACCATACTGTGGACTAATTTGAAATTTGGACATGTTTGCCTTTCGGTGGGTGAGGAGAGTAGTTTTAATCATATTTGAGTCAGCAAATTCATTCGTGAGGACCTTTATCTAACATCTTTTCTGAGTGAGGCACTACACTAGGTGCTGAGGCAAGAGGGTCTCTACTTTTCTAGGAGCTGACAGGTTTATAAGTGGAGTTTGGGGGACACAGAAAGACTGAGAAAGGAGAGCAAGGGATTGAAGAATGCACTGATCAAAGTCAGAGTGAGGGACTCGAGCCAGAAGGAAACTTGTGACCAATCACAGAAGTACGAGAAGAACTCTAACAGAAGCCAACGCGAGGTGCCATGGGTCTCAAGGAAGCCTTTCCAGGGTTCATTTTGGGTCTGGGAACTTCAAGGTGACTAAGAGTTCACGGAGCAGAGAAGCAAGAGAAAGGCCACCACTCCAGGCAGAGGAAAGAGAGCGGACAAAGGGACGGATGTACAGCAGACCCCAGCGTGATCGGAGAACAGAGAGGAATTTAGAGCTACGTGAGATCAGGCTAGAAAGGGAGGCAAGAATCAACAGCTCTACAGAAGGCGCATAACAAAGAGTTGAAACTTTACTCTCCAGGCTGTGGGATTCAGTGCAGATGTGAACAAAGGACTGGCAGGATAGGGCTCAGGGTTTTGAAAAATAATTTTGGCAGAAATGTAGACAAATGATTAGGGGAGAAACTGGGTGAAGAGTAGCTTTACACTGTAATGTCCAGGAAAGAGATCATCAAAACCTGAAAAAAGACAGTGGGGTTGGAAAAGAAGAAACATAAATAGACTAGAACTGGTGACGCTGGGGTGAAAATAGGAGAATTTAGTACCTAGAGTAGGTGGTTTTGCCATGATCAAAGGAGCAGAACAGACTGGTGAGGGTAGAAGAGGTGAGAAAGAAGGGAGAAAAGAAGTTCAATTTTAGATGTTTGAAACTTGCGCTGCCAAGACTTCTAGGTAAAGATCTGTGATAGACAAGGGGAAATTCAGGGTGGAACCCAGAAGAAGGGTCAAGGCTATAAGCACAGATTTGGAATTTCATCAAATTTGGCAACTAGCAGGTTATTGGTGACTCGTTGTTCTCTGAAAGAAGAATTTGTGTAGAGTGGTTGACTGAAGCCAGAATACACAAAGTTGAGGAGAGAATGGAAAGTATCTTACATTGTTAGTGAATTACTTCTAACCAGTTCATGTGTGTATTTTCTATTCCTTCCCATGAGTAGAAGCTCCTTAGGGCAGGCATTGTGACACATCTCCCTCGTGTGCCTCACAGCCATGTTGCAGGCACTAACAAACATTTGCTGAATTAAAGAAGAGTAGTGGAGAGGCAGAGTCGTTCGATAAGAAGACCTTTTCCAGACAGCCCTCAGAAGTGTACTTGGAAGCTCCTGAGATTGCAGACAGCAGCTCTTTCTCTTTCACCTCTGCAAATGAGATTCAGGTTTCCTCCTGGATGAAGGCATCTGCTTATTTTCCATGGATTAACGCTTCCAAGTGAGCAAGAAATGACTTGCCAAGTAGTCTAATTCACTTGGCTGGTGTGTCTCACTTAAAAAGCCATTAACAAGCCAGACTAGAGAGGTGAGGAATGCCCAATTAAGGCAATTGATGCAGTGTCCAAATGCCTAGCAGCTGGGCCCTCCTCCCACCGCTGACCCACTATGAAAATAAGATTTTAACAATTCTTTGATAGCACAGCCAAAACTCTGTCTGGAAGCCATTGAGGCCTGACAAGGGCAGGTTAGAAATTATAGACCATCCTCTTCTTCATGTCTCTGTTTTTAAAGCCCTGAAAGAAACTTTTGTGAATTAGGCCATGATTCCTTAGATGTGACACTCAAAGCACAAGCAACAAAAACAACAAATAGATTAAGTGGACTTCATCAAAATTAAAATTTTTTGCTTCAAAGAATACCACCAGAAAGTGAAAAGACAATCCATAGAAAGGGAGAAAATGCTTGAAAATCATATATCTGATGAGGGACTTGTATGCAGAATAACTCAACAATAAAAAGACAACTCAATATTTTAAATGGGCAAAGCATTAGAAAAGGACTTTATCCAAAGAAGGCATACAAATGGCTAATAAACACATCAAAAGGTACTCAACATTACTAATCACTAGAGAACTGCGATTCAAAACCACAAAATACTACTTCACACTCACTAAGATGGCTAAAATCAGAAAGACAGGCAATAACAAGTGTTGACAAGGATGAGGAGAAATGTAGCCCTCATACATTTCTGGTAGGATTGTAGAATGATGAAGCCACTTTTGAAAACAGTTTGGTGATTAAATATATGGTTACTATATGATCAGCACTCCCACCCATAGGTATATACCCAAAAGAATTAAAAAGATGTTCATACAAAAACCTATACACAAATGTTTGTAGCAACATTATTCATAATAGCCCAAAAGTGAATACAACTGATGAATGGATAAACAAAAGGTGGTAAATTCATAGAGTACAAAATTTTGGCAATAAAAAGAATGAAATATTGACACAAGTTACAATATGAATGAACCTCAAAAATACTATACTAAGCAAAAGAAGCCAGTCACAGGAGGCCACATGCTATATGATTCCATTTATAGAAAATGTCCAGAGTAGTAAATCAATAGAGATAAAAGTAGATTAGTAGTTTCCAGGGACTACTTGTTAGTACTGCTAATAAGTACTTGCTTTGGGGGGGGGGGGGTCAAAAAAATGAAGAAATTAGGAAATGGTTGTACAATTTTTTGAGTATACTAAAAGCCATTGGATTGTGTACCTTAAAGGATAAATTTTATGGTAAGTGAATTATATCTCAATAAGCTATTATTTTAAAAAGGAAGAAAGAAAACTTACAAATACATACATCTCTCAAGGCCACCTCCTCGAAGAAGAACATAAACAATTTCTGTCCAGGAAGTGAGTCGTGTTAACACAGAATACATCAGTGCTTCGAGAAGAAATTTATTAGTGTCCGATCTTCGTGACTTCTGGTTTCTATGTGGCCACATGGGACAGTTTCTCAGTCTTCCTAATGTGTCATCCTCTTTCCATCTTTGTCTTTGTGAACAAAGGAGGAGAAGAGAAAAGAGAGAGAAGGGAAAAGGAGGGAACAGAAGGGGAAGAAGAAAAGAGGGGAGAGGAGGAAGTAGGTACTCAGCAGGGAGAAGAGGGGAGGACAAGAGAAGAGAGAAAACAAGTGTTTGGTTCCAAGAGAGCAGAGTGGGAAAGCACATGCTTCATGTACACAGTGCAAATTATGGATCTCTGACCCAAAACATTTCTAGGCTTAGCATAATAGCCATTTAGTACCACCCCCTCCTTTTAAAAACTGAGGCAGTGATTTGATTAAAGAAAAGCATTAGCTAAGCAAAGGGCTTTAAATAGGGATTGCTAGACTTGAAACCCATTTCCCTAATTCCAAGGAAGCTAAGCGCTCTCAGTTTCCTTCAATTAGATCCAGAGGAGAGGTTAGCTGTTATAACTGCATACTTAGGGAGATGGTGACATTAAAAAAGCTGTAAAGAACAAAAATAGTCTCAGCTTTGATATTGCAAATACATTTTAGAAGCGCTTTTAAAAGAGAAAACAAAAGAATGTTTTCCTTAATGAGAAAATTCAAAGCCAGTCACTGATGAGCGTGGAAGCTGCTTTTGGATGAAAGGAAAAGGTGGGAGAGTAACAACAGCTACTATTTGCTGAACAACTTCTGCACACCAGGCACTGTACATATAAGATCTTTAATCCCAGTAACAGCCCAGCAAGATAAGAACCATCATCTCCATTTAAAGAAAACTTGCTTCCCAATTCCCACTACCTAGGTCCCACATTCAGAGGTATGAGATGATATCTGAGTATACTAAGTGTATATCTGATAACTTTAATGTTTAGAGAAGCACTGTCCAATAATGTGAGCTATATATATAATCTTAAATTTTCTAGTAACCACACTAAAAAAAGGGGGGATTCATTTCAAAAATGTATTTTATTTAACCCAATATATCTAAAATATTATCACTTCAATGTGTAATCAACAATTAAAATTTTTGAGCCATTTGACCTTCCTTTTTCAAGATTTTTGTACCAAGCCTGTGAAATCCAGTGTATGTTTTACACTTATAAAGTATCACAATTCAGGCTAGCGACATTGCAAGTATTCAATACCAACACATGGCTAGTGGCTCCCGTTTTGGACAGTAAAGTTCTATAGGGCTCTACAAATTTAAAATTATGACATGCATATTCCTAATTAATATTCACAATAGTTCTGTGACATATTTTGCAGGTAAATAATCTGAGACAGAAGAAATTAAATGGTCTAACAGAGTCACATAGATTATCATCACTTTTTTTCAACAAGAAGGAGAAGGGTTGAGTAAGTAAATAAAAAGATCACATAGCTGTTAGGTGCAAAGCAAGTCTCAAACCAGGTCAGTGCTCTTTCAAAAGTGCTTTACAGTTTGGCATTTTCCACCTTTCTCACTTAAACTTGGAAATTGAATTTAAAAAATAGTATTACAGTAGGCTAAACTGTCAGAACAAAGACAATAGTTTATTTCCAAATGTTCCAATTCTGTGTGTGTGTGTGTGTGTGTGTAAACACGCATCTGTTAGTTGTGGTGGTGGAGGGTTTACTCTGATCACTAGTTATTCAGGGACTCAAGCTGAGGGCAACTTAGCTGACAGGCTTCCAAGGTCACTCTGGCCACCCCACCCCTATTGTCTGGAAGGGAGAGAACAGCACAGAGGAGACCTGTAGGAAGTTAATGGCCAAGCCTGGAAGTGGCACACATCACTTGTACTCACATTCCAGTGGTGGACACTTTGTCAGATAACCACACTTAACCATAAAGAAGGCTGGGAAGGGGCTTCCCTGGTGGCGCAGTGGTTGAGAGTCCGCCTGCTGATGCAGGGGACACGGGTTCGTGCCCTGGTCCGGGAAGATCCCACATGCCGCGGAGCGGCTGGGCTCGTGAGCCACGGCCGCTGAGCCTGCGCATCCGGAGCCTGTGCTCCGCAACCGGGAGAGGCCACAACAGTGAGGATGGTCAAACTAAAGAAGAATAGGAGAATGGATTTGGGTGATCAGCCAGAAGTTACTTCTCAACATGGCTAACTAGATATAATTCTGCAAGGAATTGAGAAAGAATGCTAGCAAAGATTAAAGGAGTTAGAAATTATATAGAGACTTGAAAGAGGAGGAAAAGCTGGTATTTGTAAGCACCTTTCATGTAAAACCATGCTAAGTATTTAATGTAGGTTCTCCCAATTAACCTGCACAAAAATTCAATGAAGTGGGCTTCCCTGGTGGCGCAGTGGTTGGGAGTCCGCCTGCCGATGCAGGGGACACGGGTTCGTGCCCCCGTCCGGGAAGATCCCACATGCCGCGTAGCGGCTGGGCCCGTGAGCCATGGCTGCTGAGCCTGCGCGTCCGGAGCCTGTGCTCTGCAACGGGAGAGGCCACAGCAATGAGAGGCCCGCGTAACAACAACAACAAAAAAAAAAAAAAAAAAAAAAATTCAATGAAGTGGGTATCATTTTCTCAGTTTCCCAAAGAAAACACTGAAATTAGTCAAGGTTAAATAAGTTGTCCATGGACAAACAGATAATAATTGTTGGAGAGAGTGCTCTTACAATCTCAAGTTCTTTCCAGTATATCACACCACCACTAAAGAACTAACAGTGAAAAAAACCAGTTACCATTTATGGAGTGCCTGGACTACAACGCACTATGTGATGTATTATACATACGTTATCTTATTTAATCTTCCCAGCAAATCTAAAGACACAAATTGATTTTCCAATTTACATTTAAGGAAACTAAGATCCAGAGAGGATAAGTAACTTTCCAAAGGTCATGTAGCTAAGCTAGTAATAGTTCATAGATTTGAACCCACCTATGACTTCAAAGTGTATATATTTTTCCCCAGAATTAATTTATGAAAGGCCATCTTAATAGGAAAAAGAAGAAATGAGGCAGAGGATAAAAGCTTGCAACTGAGAGGTAGAAATAAAGAGTAGGAAGGTAAAAAAAGGAGGAGAATCCAGAAGAAAAGATTAAGGTGCTGAGAGAAGAAACTTCTATTAGCACAGGGCCTTCTTCACATCTCATTTCAGCCCTGCATCAGATTTCATAACAAAGTTGTTTCTTCCCAGGAGAATTCAAGGCTCCTATTTCCACATCCTCCCCTCCTCCTCCATGGAAGAAGATTAGGGTTACTGATAGGTCAAGTTCAAGGATGCTGACTTGGACCACATTTTTGGAAACTTGGGAGTTAAAAAGAAGAGCATCGTTGAGGCAAAATGCCCTTCTATGTGTTCTCTCCATGTGACCAGGGTGATGATAAGACTGGACCATACCCTTCAGATTCTGCCTTCTATTGGGCCAACCTGAGAACCCCAGGAAACAGCTGGCGGCCCACAACAGCTCTGCCAACACTCTTGAGGCTGAGCCTCCTTGCTCCTGTGCTTACTTCTTGCTTACTGGACCTTATACATTCTTAAACGGTAAAAATCTAAAATACTGGAGCAGGCTGAGTAAAAAGATAAGGCGGGTTATCTACATTGCCCCAGACTGAGAAAGACTTTAAATGTTCTGATAAAAAGTCGGGACCAAAAAAATCCCTGGACATATCAGGATGTGTTCAATCCAGCACGTGTGCACATGCTACTTTCCGCCCTTAGCAAACATTTTCACACACCTATTTCAACTCTTCCACCAGAAAAAAAGTCCTATCCATCCTTTACAGTTGAAATCCAATGTCATCACTTTCATGAAAGCCTCTCCCCTGTCCTCTGCATAGTTGGTTTCTTCCCCCTCTGAGCTCTCCAGAGATCTTTGTTTATTGTCTACAGAGGCAATGGCACTGCATTACAATTAGCCATGGCTGCATCACCCATGCCCTTGGCTAAACTGTCGAGCTCCTGGAGGCAGAATGTTTCTGCACATCTAATTTCCAGCACACAGCCAGGCAGGAGACAGATCTTCAACAAACTTCTGTGGATGAACTAAGAAAGGAACACTTCAAAATGCCTCAAGATGGCCTATTGTTCTTTGGTGTTTCAAGAGGCTCAGCTTCTCCTGGCTGAAGGTTGACTCATGCTGTGGGCATCCTCTAGTGCATTTTTCATTTGCTATAATGGCCTCTGCTTATCATGCATCCTATTGATCTGTCTGAACACTGGAATTTATTATTTATTAGATTTCTGTAATAGCTTTCCTCCAAAGAGCACAGCATGATATGTAGAAAACTCCAAGGCAACAGCAAGGAAGACCAGAACAATGACAGCACCTTGTGGAAAATGCAGAGGAAGAGTAGAAGCCGAAGGCTAAGAAGCAATGTCAAGGGAAAGCCACTCCCCTCACAGGAGTGGCAGCCAGCCTCCTGGGAGTCCCATACCGGTCCTGGTCTTAGCCCTGACCCCATCCGTCTCCATGTTTGTTTGACAGTCTGGCAGGAAAAATAGTATGAGAAAGCACTTTGAAAAGTTAAAAGCATCCTACAAATGCAAAGTAATATTATTCCATTATCATTAATCAACATCAACATAATTCATCCAAGAGCAGGAAGTGTTTCATATTCATACCAGTAAGGAGGAAAGTTTGGAGTATCTATCTTCCCCAACTAGACTATACACTCTTCTAAAGCAAGGATCATGCCATATTCATTTTTGCACATGGCATCAAACCCAGCATTGCCATATTTAGAAACGTATTCATTTTGTCAGGCGTCCTCGTGGGTCATTGGGTGTTAAATGCCCTCTAAATAACTTCCTTTCATTCTAGTCTGAATTTCCATGGGAGATGGCCCTAAGAGAAGGAAACAAGTTTTCTTTTCTCCACTTAAACTGATTCCCTGATAAATTCTAAGCCTTATATAACCATTTAACTTCTACCATATTTCTGGGAAATCAGGCAAGGGTCAATGTAAGTAAGCATACCTCAGACCTTTCAGCTTTGTTGACTGGCCCCTTCAATGAGCCTAAAGGTGCAGCTGAAATGAGTCCCCACCTCCTCTAACTTACTGAAAATAAATATCAGAATGCCTGAAGGGATGCACTGGCTCCATGTGCCCTTCTACACCCCTCCCCCAGATACCATCACTATGACTCTTCCTCACCATGCCCCAGCCCACTGCACTCAGCTCAGCCCATTCCAGGCCTGGCCAATGGCCCCCCCCCCCCTTCAGTGCACTCAGAAACTCAACATAAGCTATCTGAAGGCAGGGGACAGGTTTTACTGGTCTAATGATTCCTAATATGGTATTGGGGACTCTACTGAATGTTAACTAAATCAGGAAACCATCATTATTTTAAAGAAATTATTGACAAGGTCAAAATGACTATTTTATGCCAGTCTAATTAACAGTTTTTATGAGAAGGCTGACCTTTCTATCTAGAAAATTGTGGCAGAACCTTGATCATGAAAACTCAATACATCAAATGGAAAATTGCTTTTAC